TACGGACCAAGGTGGTCGATACGAAGGCCCGACCCACCTTGTCATAGGCTTTTTTCCCAATGTCTAAAAGTGTTACTGCTACAGCTCTTTCTTCTGCACTACTGCTCAGATCAGCCAATGGTCAAGGAATCACAAACTCTCCCTTTTTGGGCGTAGGTTAGTCCTGTCCTCAGCTGCATTCTCTCTGCTATGGTTCCCTTTGTCAATTTGTCGTCTCGGCACCACAGCATGTTCTCCAGTAAAGCGGGTAGCAACAAGATACCTGTGGAAACCCACAACAGACGAGAATCAAGGATTCATCTGGAAATCGACATGGGATGCCCTCACCCAACCAAGGGCCAAAGGGGGTCTCGATATCCTAGACCCAAGAGACCAGAATTTAGCTCTGTTGGCCAAATGGATTATTAAAGCCATGTTTGAGGATACTAACAAGCAGTGGCTCCAATTTGCAGAGTACGTATTAGCAGAGGAATGGTCTCTGAATAACCCGGCCGGGTAATGTCTGGCTATGTTGTCTAATCCCCCTCTTACCTCAATAGAAGGATTAAATCAAGAGTGTGGAAAAGGATCCTACATGCCTGGAAGAATCTCTTCCCTCACCAGCGGGCCCCCCCCCGACAACAAAAGAAGAAGGAAGACGGGAATCAGATCCTCTATTTGAGAACCCATATATCACGCAACCTGATAAGCAACAATTCTCAGCAGCTGAAGGGGCAGGGAACTTCGGCCGTTCTTGGATCGAGAAAGGAATAATCCAAGTCAAACACCTGTGGAATTCCAACAACAACGAATGGAGATCAGGGAGGGAACTGCGTCTATCGCTCCCCAGACTGCATAATGTCAAAGCAAACCTTAAGAATCCACTTAAGGTGATTCCAGTCCACTGGTTCAGTCTGTGATCCACTCCGAGTCAGAGAACGCAGCAGGCCCATGGCTGCGGTCTGAGAACGATCAGCAGAGAGTGTAAAGTGGTGGGGCCCCAACTCACCACGGGGATGAAGATTGAAGAATAGGAATCTGAAAATGGGGAAAAAAGGCGAATGGAATCTGAAAATGGGGAAAAAAGGCAGTTCTTTGACGTACCTGGGGGATTGGGTAATCACCTCCTCGAAAGATTGCATCGAAGGGTGATTCCTGGAGATAAAAAGACGTCACAATTCCTGGGCTACAGTCCCTGATTATTATCCCCACAGCGCACTGGCTGGCTTCACATCGTATGGACATTTCAATCACGTACCCCAGATGCGACTGGGGGTGGGAGTCCAATGCTCGTCCGTGGGTGGACTGTCCGCTGGCGGATGAGACTTGGAAGTGAGATTGCTTTAGGACCTTAGCGTACGATCTGGCCTGTTTCCCTTGTGACTTTGGGTCTTAGCATTGGTGGCAGCAACATTGGAATGGTCTGACAAGTGGCGAATCCCCGTGGAACGACGACTGGACAGTGTATGTTATCCCTCCAGGCACAACACGAAAGCTCTCAGACGGCTGCGGCTACGTCACATTGGTCTACAGGGCAGTTCTTCAAGAAATCTGAAGAGCCCGAAACACACCGGTTTTCAAAGGTGAATCAGTAACTATATACATCAACAACAATCACAAGTCAGGACTAACCTGAGGATGATGATCCTGGCCGACTGGAAAGGCAGAAAAGGACGACATAAAAAGCAACATCTACTGGTTCCGCAAGACATCGGCAAACGCAGGGAAATTTGCCTCGATTTCGTCAGAAGGAAGATTGTCTATGGCTGATTGGCTTCGACCCCCCTAGGTCTGTCGATCACCGCAGTCAAGTTAGGCTGAGGTAGACTCACCGTGTGGACAGAGCCCGTCGGGAGGGGCACTCCCCTGCCCTGAGTTACAAGAATCTGTGTTGGTAGACATATCCTGAGCTGAAGGGTCCCTTTGTAGTGTACAAGAATCTGTGTTGGTGGACATATCCTGAGCCGAAGTTGGGTGGTGAGTGCACCGTTAACGCGAACCCACCATATTGTAGATATACAAGGGACTCTGGACCTGGCTTCCAGAAATAATTTTTCTCAGCATTTTTCTGAGCTTCAAGGTCTTAATCTTTTTGGGAAGTTATTATTGGTAATAAGCATTATGGTCGAAGGGACGCTGCACCCGGTTTCCAGCAACAGGTTCCACCGGGTAGAATTGTGAGGTTCCCGGCTTTCATCCAATGACTTTTTGATAATACAAACAAATTCTCAAAAAAAAAAAGAAAGTCGTGGGATCTGCCCCTAAGTTAGACAGGTATATGCCACCCGTAGAATACGGCCTGCCTCGCAGGCAAGGCAATATAAGGACATGAAAACAAGAAAAGAAGGGGAAACCGGCAAAATCATTTTCACCTGTAGAATACAGCCTGCCTGGCAGGCAAGGCAATATTAAGCGGGCATGAAAACAAGAAAAGAGCGGTCGGGGGGATTGGGGGGAAAAGGGGAAACGGGCAAAATCATTTCCACATGGTGGCCATATATGCATATTCCTCAAAGCACTGCTGTAACTTCCCGAACGAAGCTGGATCCGAAACTCAGGGCGAGATCCCACTGGCAAAGAGGATTTATAGTAAACTGTCCAAACCTCTCTGAATGTGGACGTTTTCGTGTACAGGTGCAAAGAATTGTGATTGATCTAAATGTCTTCTGCACCTCAGCGTGTAACACGTCGACATTCAGACACTTCTTCCAATCCTCTTCACCAGTGCGATCTGACACTTAGTTTCGATATTTTTTCTTCAGAATCTCTTTTTCTTTTCGTTTTCTTTTCTTCGGCCTTCCCGGACACCTCGTTTTTTTTCCCTTAAATTTTCCCCAATTTTTATCATTTTCTTTTCTTCAACTTTCAACCCTGCCCCGAACCCCGCCTTTTGATTAGAGGCTACCATATGGCCTTCGGGCTTGCCTGTGAAAGGTAGTGGTGCTTTGAACCAGCCCGGTCATTATCGCTGCATCTAGACAGAAAACCGCCCCAAATACGGCTATAATGACCGGGCGTTCTATTCGAGTGAAGACGGTAGGAGTAGGTGACAGATCGGATAAGATTCGACGGTTGATTGGTTGATTGGGCACTTGGACGGAAAGTACCAGGATCCACACACCCTACAATAACCGCGAACGGCTGGTCACGTAGGCTGAATCATTGGATGAGAGAGGATTCATCCGAACTTGACGCACACTCCTCCGGACTGCATTGGACCATAGGTGGCTTGCGGACATTTAAATTAGGGAGCGTCGTGTTCAAGGAAATGCAGTCTCTCTAGGATTGTTCTAACACGGTCTCTCTTGGATCGGTCGATTTACTGAGATAGATTCCTGGTGGCAGTCTTGTGTGAAAGGAGTCTCGCTGACGCTTCATGCAATCCGTTTCATTCATTCAATTACTGAGATAGATTCCTGGTGGCGGTCGTGTGAAAGAGTCTCTCGCTGACACTTCATGCAATCCGTTTCATTCATTCATCACTGGGAAACCGATAGATTTCACAAGAGTATATCCAACTTCACTCGCGTTTTCACATTTTCCCCCATCAAATACGTTGTCGTTAACACAGTATATACCACGACTCTGGCCCAACTCCACTCAGATTTTGGGGGAAAAAAATGTCAGTCCACCATAACACTGGTGAACTTTTCATCAGACTTTCATCAGAATTTTACCGAGTTCCTGGAATCGCTGAATTTACTACTCTTGATTGGTTTTCCCAACACCACCCGGCTCGTTGATCATATATAATAATCAAGTCGCCGGATTATCTCCCTGGTCCGCTACTGCGTGAAAATGAAACTGAAACCCTTCCACAAGAAAAGAAGACATGCAAAAAGAACTGCACGGATATTGCATGGACAAAACTGCAGAGTCGGATCCACGATCTAAATGACCACGGGGACCCCAAACTCCGGAGTCTGGGCAGCAGGCGCAAGGAAGACAAAAGGGGCCCGCGAGGCCTTCTACCAGACCAGGCAGAGGGAATGAAGGTGGGGAAAACGCCACTACGTGAAGAATTTGATTAACCAGGTGCGAAAGGAAACTGCATGCACGTCCTTGGGAAAACAGGTCAGGCACTCGCTGAGAGGAGAAACACACGAGCGAACCAGTATTACGAATGAAACACCAATCAAATACCAATCAAATACCAATCAAATACCCATCAAATACCCATCAAATCCCGATCTAGTGCATGGAAAGCACATCATAGAAGTTCGCGAAAGAGAGACCAACGCCGACAAGACTTGCACCTCGTGTACTGCTCGGATTATACAGCGTAAAGAGTAACGAGATAGAAGACGAAAGAGGAAGCACTCGACAAGCGGGGTGAACACCGAGGAGAAACACCCGGGTTTACCAGTCCACCCCGAATCAAATAGTACCGATCAAACACCAGTCAAACAACAGTCAAACACCAATCAAGCACCGATCGAATTCTGATCTGGTACATGGAATGGAGATTAAAGAACACGGGGCAAAACTGACAAACAAGCACGAGCAAAAGGTGCAAACGGGGGGATAACCAGTCGACTCTGAATCAATCAAACCACAATCAAACAACACTCAGACAAGAATCAAGCACCGCTGAAATCCTGATCTGGTACATGGAAAAACATTACAGAACACGGGGCAAAACTGAAACAAGCACGAGCAAAAGGTGCAAACGGGGGGAGAACCAGTCGAATGCGAATCAAATAATACCGATCAAACACCAATCAAACAACAGTCAGACACCAATCACACACCGATCGAATCCTCATCTGGTACATTGAAAGGACATGAACACGGGGCAAAACTGACAAACAAGCACGAGCAAAAGGTGCAAACGGGGGGATAACCAGTCGACTCCAAATCAAATAATACCGATCAAACACCAATCAAACAACAGTCAGACACAAATCAAGCACCGATCGAATCCTGGTCTGGTACATAAGTATGATAGAAGCACGGGGCAAAACTGACAAACAAGCACGAAAAAAAGGTGCAAATGGAGAAGGTTTTCCAAAGGATTATCCCACAACCGGTGTGATTCATTCACGGCGGTTACCTAGACAAGTACACAATTGAACATCCACGATCATAAATCCTCTTGATGTCAAGTTCATACAACACGCGTAGCCACTAAAAACGCGATGCCTTGGATGTGGCAATGCCACGGAAGATGAGTTATAGTAGGGAACACTGCCTTAGTCTATAAACTCACATAAGAAACATCAAATACCACAACCATCCACACACGACAGCTGCCATCCACTCCAGACGTTCGGATCCACCACTGCAGAGACATTTTATAAATACGACAGCTTCAATTCACAGATCCGCAACGAAATCAGGTTCCCGTAGATAGTCTGCCCCCGAACACAACGCACCCCAACAACGACTGTATACAAGCCATCTTTCCGGTCCGATGCAGCCAAAACGAGGTTGCAACGTGTTACGGGGAAGACCGTAGATTTCGAGGTTCTCTACGGAGTTCAGACGAGCTACCGCCTTCCCCCGAACTTAACACACCCTAATAAACGACTGTACACATGCTTTCTCTCCGGCCCGGTGCAGGCAAGAGGAGGGTACATGCCGTGTTAGGGACAAAACCATAGAACGAAGCCATGCGGTGCCTTCGGCGGCACTTGACAACGGAATGTTCAGAATTCGTTCACATGAAGCGCCTATTCTCTCCCAACACACCCTCACAACGACCGTATACAACCCTTTTCCGGATCGGTGCAGCCAAAATAAGGGTGTGCGTCTTGTTCGGGGAAGACGGCAGACCGAAGGAACCGTGCGCTGCCACCTCACCCAAATAATTGTTTTCCATACCGCTACAACTAGCAGAGCTAAAATACGGTTCGTTATATGAGTAACGTCTTTCCCAGAATGGAACGTACAGTAATGTTATCGCTTCATCTAGACCGGATGTTACCCCAAATACAGCGTAGTGACGTGCGTTCTATCTGCGGGAAGACGGCAAAGCGTATTTGGCTGACAATAACGAAGGCTCGACATGCATGGTTAGCACCTAGAAAGTAGGGTGACTTCCAACCGGACTGACGCTCCCCAGAATGGCTATAGAGCCAGGACCAAAAAAGTACGGTCACTTTCGCTTTATCTCTAGAATGAATGTAACCCCAAATAAAGCAATAATGACCGTGCGTTCTATTCGGATGAAAACAACAGGAGCATTCGGCCGACAAATACAAGACTCAACACACACCTTCGGGATGTGAAAGATTCGATCGAAGAAAAGAATTTCCCTTCTCATTTCCAACAGCATAAGCAGCAGAAAAAACGACAAAAAATGCACAAAAAGATCATTTAACTTCCAACAGCATACGAAAAAGAAACAACGACGAAAACGTACACGACAAGATTACGCAAAGAAATTATCATCTTACCTTCTCCCACAGCATAAGCAGCAGCAACAACGAGAAAAAGATACACAAAGATTACGCGACAGCATAAGCAGCAGAAACAACGACACAAACATACACAAATTAACAAAAATATTCAAGGACGTTCTTGTTGATTACATCCCAATCGAATAAAAAAGAAAACCTCCCAGACTTTCGAGAACAAAAAAGACACGCAAAACCACGATCGCAGATAGGTGTGTTCTGTTCACACGCGGCCGTCGAAAAAAGCCGCTCCACCCAAGACGAGGGACAAGTTCCTCCGGAATAACGACGACGCACTTCTGCCGCGTGACGAGGCCATCCACTGTTGTGTACCATTAACAACGCCAGGGGAGGGGGGAGGGCGTACGAAGCTCACACGACTTTCTGACTCTCGTAAACCGTTTCCACCCTGTAAAGCTGCTTATTAAATCTTTCATACCCCTCCAGAGATTATATCCCTAACTCGGCTGCAAGAAACCAGCACCTCGACAGCGCCGCCATAGCTCATAACATACAGATGTGAGTAATTTTACAAACCCTAGCTGACCCTGTACCACGGAAAAGAGGGAACAAAAAAGGATACGTGAAGACATGATCGACCAAAGAATCTACGCGAGTCTCATCAACCAACTGCTGCGTTACTGATGCTTCCTTATCACCCATAAGGATGTCCCCCTCGTCACAAGATCGTACGGTCAGTATCCTATATGCTTGAACACAAGCCAAATCTCAACCAACCAAAACTGTCCTGACATTTTACTTCGACGCCACGCAAGGACTCGAGCACGACGTCACAAAATTAACCCACTTCCTCTACCCTTCGAATGCAACAGAGTTCTCGTCATCGACTCGACACGGTAAGTCCCTCCCTCCAAAACAACAAGAAATTGGACGATTTCTGGAACAGGTGCATTCAGACTAGCAGTATATTGAGCACAACAGCACTTCCGTTAACATCGGAAGCTACCATCTTGATCTGAATAGATCGCATGGTAACTAGCTCGGAATGATAGGCCCTCGCTCCACTGATCAACATACTAATGCATTTGGACATTTTCTGGTCCAGGTGCATCTGGACGAGTCCAACATTCTTTAAGTATCTGGACGATCATGAATTTGATTACATATATAGATGTGCATGGAGCGAGGCGCTTAAGACTGAAAGTGTTTTCCAAAATCGACTGTGGATCGCAAAATACCCTCCCCCGAAGGGAACAACGCAGAGAAAGAGATAGCGAGTTTCAAAAATACACGCTGGTGCACGTCTCCTGCAAAGGGAGCGCGTTACGTATCGCTTTCATTTCCACTCAATCACTTGAGACATTCGTCGCCAGTGATACACATCCCGACCTTCCATATCGACGTCAACCACAAACAGTCCCCCCTGGAAACAAGACTACGCAAACACCTCACAGCCGACAGCACGACATGTCATCACTACAAGCAGCGAACGGTGCGATGTTTCCGCAGAATGGAACAGAAGACACCCACCAACACACCCCTATCCTATTCCTAACCCTACAGGCGAATAACGCCGCCATCCTTGTCCTCACCCTGTCTACCATACCAGCAGCTTTGTCATCGGCCCCCAAGCAACGTTTCCTTCTCCAATGACGCGCACCAGATCACAAGCTCGCAATCCAATTGAACGAAAGCTTCAGTACACAACCAAGTTATTAATTTTACTGAAGAACCACTTCGCTGAACTCCGTTTAAAAGTTCGTTGGCAGGCACTCGACGAGAGTCTTGCCGTGCGGACATCGTTGTCCCGTGTTCGCCCCATTAGTTCAGATCGACCTTCCCACTTCACCGCAAAGACGGACGACGGCCGCCTTTCCAGCGGAAGGGAACAACCGCTTCCACGTCGAAGGTAGCGCCCAACGAGCGCAGCTCTGCGAACGAACCCACCGCTTTAAAAAAAGGCAGCAAGCACTGATCCACAGCTGCTTGAGGCGCCGCTCAAGGGATGAACAGCTGTTTAAGGCATAAAACCAGAGGACGAACGGCTACTACCGCCACTGATTGAGCCCAACGGGCATACGACTGCCCACAGAGTTTAGCAGAACGACTTCCGAACGGACGAACCGTTTCTTTCGAAGTTCAGACGTAGGAACGTCTGCTTGAGGCATCGCTCAACGGAAGAACAGCTGCTTAAGATCACCCAGTGGATAAACAACAGCCACTACCACTGAAGGAGGCGGAGCCCGACGGCGAGACCACTGCTCACAGAGTTTAGTTGAAGGAACCTCTACTTACAAACTTTAAGAGGAACGAACGGCTGCGAAACGCTAAAAGACAAGCGCATGAAACACTGCTTAACGCGGTGCCAGATGATTGAGTCAGCAGCCATTTTTTCCATGCACCCTCCCTCCAAGGGGTCGTGACCTTCCTTACGTTCACCATTCTTCGGTAGGCCCCATCTTCTTTCCTTCCAGCGAACGTGTTCGCTTCGCTATAAGGTGGTATCGCACGCGAAACAGCCAAGCATCTCTTCGGTTCGTCCATCGCCGCCACCTCCTTGGAAACGATTAACGAGCGGGTGACACGTCAAGCAGTCAATCCGCAGCATAGACACATACCGCCGCCGAGAGACTATCCCTTCTCCATAAAACGCCCACCATCTCTGTCGTCCATTCCCTCCCTGCTGTTTATGGCATCCCGCCATTAGTGGATTTTAGAAACGGCTGACAAGTATATACAATAGCCCTCCACCCTCCCTCGCTCCCCATGTCTCCTTTGGACTGCCTAAGCTCGCTCGCCGCGAATTCTCCTTGCAAGCTGAATGTCCTTTGGCATGATTGTCACACGCTTGGCGTGGATGGCGCACAGATTGGTGTCCTCGAAAAGACCCACAAGATAGGCCTCCGCCGCCTCTGCACAATTCACCACGTACACAAATGAAAAAAAGTAGCGACATAACGACTCAATTCAGCATGAAATCCAGAGCTGTCCACAAGCAAAAACTGAGGACATGACTGAAAAGCACACAACAACTAAAACCACTGCCATTAAACCAGAGGAAACTCCACAAAAAAATTCGCATACAACGGACAGAACAGACGATCGTCCGAACGTAATATTGCCCCATGCATGCTCAGAAAAGAGCCTAACAAATCCAAGTGAAATTAGAAACAAATTGAATGCCCTGTTGTGACAAGGGTCGTAGAAGAACGAACACAGAGCAGATGCGATCGCCTACCACAGCGAAAAGACGAGGGAAAACTCATACAGAAAAACTCACGGGCCAAGAAAGAAAAGGGAGTAACACTACCATGAGCATAAACCACATACGCCGTGTACGATTCAACATTCGAAAGAGCTAACACAAGCGAGAGATATCGAGACAAGTACTTCCACACGCAATCGAGGCGCCAAGCTAGTAACCCTCCCTACCACGCCCATAAGCTAGTCTTCCCCCGAATACAACGCACGGTATTCATAGCTGAATTTAGACGAAAAGATAGACCAAATTCAGCTATAATGACCGCGCGTTGTATTCGGGTGAAGACTAGTTACACCAAACCGCGTACCAAGAATCCATCCTGAATATCAATGGCAACCATATATACATACTGACGTAACGTATACGTTCATCAAGCGTAAATGGCTTTACAGCGCTCGTTCCTCTACCAAGCTGTGTGCATAAATGAGAAAGCTTATCGAACACACCCCTAGGTCGTAAATTTCCAGGTCCTTTCATATCCTCCAGAAACGTTTCACCCGTGAGTTCAACGAACCTGACCAGTTCTCCCCTCCCCACAAATGTGCCTGATGGCCAACCCTCCCACCCTAACAATAAGACCGACTGTTTGAACAAACCCTCACCACTGCACCCGCTCAAGGCATCACTTTCCCGCCCGTCTCACCCTAACAAGGTCATCAGCAACCCTCACCCCCGAAAAAAGCTTCTCTGGTTCTGATTAATAACTACAATAACCTCGACGCCGTAATCCAGCAACCGATCAATCAAGGAGTCAACGCCTAAATAGCATCCGGACGTCTGGTCTGATCATTACATCGTCATCATCATCATCATCATCATCATAAATATCATCATACGCTTGCAAATGACATAGTCGAAGAATCAGAACCACAATCGGCGCACATTCAATACCGCTGACAATCGCACAACGCACTCGTCCCTCCACTCCCCCCCACTCTAGGGCCGCCCTCGGGTCATTCATATACCACCACAACGCCTTTCGTTGGAACCCAGGTCATAAAAACTTTTCATCCATGCAATTACTTTTTTGACATAAAAATGACATAGTCAAAGCCTCTGCTTTCCTGAACTGAATGATATACTTAATTGATTCGCTCATCCAATCATCAGCTAAGAGGCACCGCAGAGTTAAACAAACCTTGGAGGGCGAGAACGGCATGGCTCTGGAAACGCAAGTCCGTCTTGAAATCCTGCGCGATTTCGCGAACAAGACGCTGGAAGGGAAGCTTCCTGATGAGAAGCTCGGTCGACTTCTGGTACTTGCGGATCTCACGAAGAGCGACAGTTCCGGGCCTGTAGCGATGGGGCTTCTTGACTCCGCCCGTAGTTGGCGCGCTTTTCCGCGCAGCCTTTGTAGCCAGCTGCTTGCGAGGCGCCTTACCTCCCGTCGACTTCCGAGCAGTTTGCTTCGTACGAGCCATGGTTGAACACTAGAAAGACCGCTTCACACTCTCGACTGTCTGTCCTACAGGCAGTTCCGGACACTACAAACCGCGTACCAAGTGCAGAAAGAGAAGGACAGCTGGGCACAGAGAACGACTTAACACCACGAGGCGCAACGAAAATCACCCGCGCTCGTAACACTTCAACAAGACTTCAGCCGCACATATATAGTGCTTACCAGGCGCGCGCTGACCTCCGCACTCTCGTCTCGATTACCCTGCTGACCAACTTCGCAATGACGCTGTTCCGCCACCACGATCAGCGAGGGTTCCTAAAAGCTCTCAGACGACCGACGAGGTAAGCCAACACCACGCGTGGCGGGAGAATCTAGGACTACGGACTACCGGTGTCACGCATTCAAACCAAAGTGGCGCCGTCGATCTTGGCAGAAAAATGAAATCGGAGACCGTTGGATGAATGAACGTTTGCCGAAAAGTGAACAGAACAGGGCCAGAGACGCGCAAATCCCACGAAAGTTGAGTCCGACCCAGGCACAATTCGCGAAAGACGATTGGCTGACGGGGCCCGCACACGGATCGCACCCCGAACGGCAGTGTAGCTCCAACTTAGCGCCTGATTGCTGTTTCGTGCGGTTGGCTCAGTGTTATACACACGCGCCGACGCATCGAGCCCGTCGGCTGGGTTATACACCAAGTCGTGTCCAAGCGGTCCCTGGTGAGCGGGGCCCCAGGAGTTGCACGGGACGCTCGAAGGGCCTCCACCACTCAACCTACCCCTCCTTTTTTTTTTCCCGGTTAGTACTCACCAGGAAAGCGTCCGAAGGGCTCGCACAGCGGCTGCCCCATCGAAGAAGCAGCTCAGTCCTGATGCCATCTGCTCATTGATTGATTGACTTACAGTGAGGGCAGGGGTGCGCAGCGCGTAGTTTGTATGTTGATGTGATTGGAGAAGGGTAAGGTAGTGAATATGCTGTGTGTATGTTTTGTCATGTTCACTATACACACCTCGAAGAGTGTGGCTGGTGGTTTATTCACCATGTTCATGGGACGCTGGACCCAGTTTCCAGCAAGTGCCACTCCCCACCAATACAAAGGAGAATGTGTGTGTGCATGTATGCACGTGTGTATGTAAGAGTGTGTGTGTGTGTGTGTGTGTGTGTGTGTGTGTGTGTGTGTGTGTGTGTGTGTGTGTGTGTGTGTGTGTGTGTGTGTGTGAGGAGAGAGAGAGAGCCCTGCAGCATGCAGCGTGTCAATGGTAGGCAGCACAAGGGCAGGCACTGACCTCAAAAAAAAAAAAAAAGATAATGTTTTATTGGAATACAAGAGTTTTTTCTTTTCGAAATTCGAATAGAAAAGGTACATATTGTATTCAAATACAACGCGTATGTGTTCTATTGGAAGTGCCCTTCTATTAAAGAAAATTGGAACCGCACCGTTTCGATTTTGAAATGTTAAAAACTCAACGGTCACGGTCTCCTCGACCTCCCACGCCGTTTCGATTTGGAAATGTTCGTCTCAAGGATTGCGGTCTCATCGGCTTCTACAAGCAGCTATCAGTCCTTCGCATACTTCGCCCCTTGCTAAGCCCGCACCTTAAAATTGTCCACCCTCCCAAACCACCACCGACGTTGAAAGTTGAATTGACGTTGAAGGTCTCAAGGGCATAAAACACAAGTTACCCTGACGGGCTGCAAACTTACCATAACGGTCAAGTAGGCAGTCCGTAGTTCGTTTAATGATGTGGTTGGGGAAGGGTAAGGTATTGATTATATTGCATTCATGTTTTATCATGCTCTCTATACGCGACTCCAATAGTGTGAGTGTGCATGTGTATGTGAGAGTGAGTGTGGTCGATGTGAGAGTGGGTATGGTTGATGTGAGAGTGAGTGTGTCCTTGTCTGTGAGAAAGAAAAAAACTTGCAGCACTCAACGTGTCAGTGACCAAGAGCACAAGGGCAGGCACTAACCTCGAAAAACCAAAAAAAATAAATGTTATATTTGAATTGACTTACCCTAAAGGCACGAGTGCACGGCCCGTAGTTTGTCTGTTGGTGTAGGTGGGAAAGGATAAGGTAGTGATTATGTTGTGTTTATGTTTTTTCATGTTCACTATTCACAACCCTAAGAGTGTGTGTGTGTGTGTATGTGCGTGTATGTGTGTGTGTGTGTGTGTGTGCGTGTATGTGTGTGTGTGTGTATGTGTGTGTGATAAAGAGAAAAAAAAAAAAAGTCATGCAGCACACAGTATGTCAGTGACCGGGAGCACAATGTCAAACGCTAACCTACAAAAAAAAAAAAAAATGCAATATTATATTTGAATACATTAGTTTTTTCTTTTTAAAATTTGGATGAAAAATACATGTTTTGTATCCGAGTGCAATGCATATGCGTTACATCACAAGTATGTTTCTATTCGATAAAGTGAACTAACTCTTTAACCACTGATACCTCCGAGCTTTGTCGAGTCTCGTTCTTGATACTCTCACGGAAAGGGGGGGGGGGGAACAAAGTTGTTGCGGTCGTGAAACTAACAACGGAAAAAAAAATTAAAAAAAAAAAAAAACTTAGGCTTTGAAATGCAGTTCTACATATTATTGCAATTGTTAGTGTGAGTGTGCCCTCACTGAAGGCGTTTCAACCCAATGGAAAGGGGAAAAAAAACTTAAGGGCGATTTATGTACTTCAATGGTATCGGACAAAGTAGTATAGGAGGTCTTGCTCACAGTCGTTCTCAACATAATGAATCTTACAACTAAGACGGTATAATTATTGATATTGTTGTTTTTTATTTTATTTTATATGTTTATTTTTACAAGTCTCCTTCCAACGAGGTAGGGCATACTCCATGATCTGCTAAAGATGTGTTTCATGATTTTAAAATTCAACCCATGTCGAGTCTCCGGGACTTTCGAATTTTACGGGGATATTGAGAAATTGCCAGTATTCGTTGTTTTCTCAATATCGGCAGAGGTAGTAGTGGTTTAAACCACTAGTTCACACGAAGTTAAATTGACGAACCAAAAGTTGTACGTTTCAGAGCTTTACTGCTACAATAACAAGTTGAAAAGAAAAATCTCGGGGTACTGGTAACAACCTACCTTGGAACTTTAGTGATGTACCTCGTGCCAATATATGGCACAAAAAAGACAAGCAAAAAAAAAAAATAATAATAAATTCAAATAAATGATGAACAAAAATCGTTGCTCTTTTATGAAAGAAACATAAAAGAGATATGGAGGAAGTCATATGACCTAGAGCATACTCACAATGGTACTGTTCATAATGTATCTCACCACTATCACGACCAAATTATTGTTTTTTTTTTTTATGGTTTCCTCTTTTGTTTTCTACTATCCTGCCAGAGGCAATGCGTTTTCCACCTTCTCCAGAAAAAAACTCATTGAGGGTATACTCATACTAATACTGTGAGATTGCATTTGATTGCTATCATAGGCATTTTTATTTTTTATTTTTATTTTTTTTCTTATTTACATTCGTGGGAATTCCCTCACTCAAGGCATACTCACACTACTACTTTCGAAAATATATCGGATGGATATTACATTTAAATCTGTCTCTATTTTTATTTTTTTGAAGATTAGTGCCCTGCCAGCAAGGCAGGACGTATGCCCATACTGCCCAAATTTTTCTCATTTGTTTGTTTTTTTTTCCCAATTTTGCTTTCAATTCACTCTTCTTGGGCTCACCAGCCTTTTCCCTTTGAACCTGTGCCATGTCGGATCACTGTTCATCTTGCCATGGTCACAGTGTACTGCGTTTTTTTGAATAGTAGGGGTCTGTGAACTAGTGGTTTAAACCACAAGTTCACCCAAACTTATTTCCAAGGCTTTGGAAAATTATTTTTCGAAGCCTCCAATAGTCCCGTACCGGCCTCTAAAAAATGAAACGTGGCACCAGTACCGGCTTCATGCCTCGTCAAATAACTGGACCTGAGGTCTACGAAATCAGTCGTCACAATTATTTTTGTTTTTTGAAAGTTTCATTTTATAGTATTTCCACTTTGTTGGGCCCCCATTAGTGAACTTTCACCACGACGCCGTGCTGGATTTTTTGTCACAAGCGGCCCATGCCACTCACTCGTCTTAATATGGTGGCGACAACAGTGGTTGGCTATGCCAGGCACATGGCCACAATGATGTACGAAGTAGAGGGGGGACCAACCTCGACCGTTCATGCGCCTGGCATAGCCCACCACACACACACACACACACACATACACTATTGGTGGTCATTACACTACTCTCGACATGTGCAAAATGAGAGTTAATCTTCAGTTGTAATATGAAGACATACACTGCTATAAATTTTGTATTTCGTGCATATCGAGAGTAGTGGAGCGAGGCCTAAGCACACACACACGCGCGCACGCACGGAGGGGTTGGGCGTTGCTACATTCGAAAATATCGGCACGTGTATTTGTTGTGTGTGTGTGTATGTGTGTGTATGTGTGTGTGTGTGTGTGTGTGTGTGTGTGTGTGTGTGTGTGTGTGTGTGTGTGTGT